CCAAATATATATATTTTATATACATTTTTCTTACCTGCATAAAGATATACATAGTATTTCTTTTCATATTGTCTGTAAGAAATATATGTTTTCACTACTATAATAGCCTCCTGGAGAAACAAGCAGGCTTGGATCTTAAAGTCCTCAGAGCTCTTCCACCCCCAGGCCCAGTCCCAACCTCACTGTAAGCTGGTGACAAGAGTATGGGTCTTGTCACTGTAAGATGGTGACAAGACCCATACTCACTGTGCCTCACCTGTGTCATTCATAGAAGGTAAGACTACTCACTCTTTGGCCCTCTTACAGGATATTATGAAGAGAAACAAGATGACAAAAATCAAGTAGGATTTGCCTTTTTGAAGACACTATCCCGTATGAATAGGCTAGTGTGTGTCAGAAAAACAAACGTGCTTGGACCAAGGATTTCTTCTTCTTCTTTTTTCTTTTTTTGTTTATTTTATAGAGAGAGATTTTTGCTATAGGGCACATGCACTCACCAGAGAGACAGAGAGAAACAGAAAGTGAGAAATCCCTCCCCAAGTGGGGTTGGCCATGTCACAATCCCTTCTCCTCCATTCTCCACTCGGGATTTTGGGCATTCATGCACAAGTGCTTGGCATGTTTTAAGCTGCCAAGTTCAGGACGTGAACTGCAGTTGAGTATGTAGGAGTCCAGTGATGTAACCATTATGCTATCTGCTCATCCCTGGACCAAGGATTTTCTAGCACACAGAAGACCACATCAGCCAAGAGGCCACATCTTGGTGGCCACAAATGATATTTAAAATACTCACCATTTTCTCAAGTTTGGTTTCCTTTGACATCAAAATTTGGTTCCCTTTGAGGGAGGCCCTCAGTTTGGTTACCCTGGTCAGGGGTAGGAGAAAGGACAGGGCCATGTCTAGTGCTTGGTGGCGAGGGGGCAAGCTTAGATTCTAAAGCCTACCCTCTAGCTAACGTTTTCCAAAGACTACCCTATCCCCATTTAATTCAAAAACAACCTGCTCTACAGAGCCTCAGAGGCACTCCTGTGTTCCCAGGCTTCCTATTTGCTCTGGGGCAGGGATGTGACCCCTCATCTCTGGGTAGAATCAATGAAGGACCCCCCATCACCACCACCAAGAGGCATTGGGAGCCCAGGTAGCAGCAGAGTGGTCTAAAATTATCTGAGTTTCTTTGTGCTCTCTAACCAATTATCTCTGCTCCCTGTTCTTTAAAATCAGGCAATAGGAAACTCCACTGATAAGCACGTAAATAATGACTGAATAGGAAAGGAGATACTAAGTGTACCTGGGTTCTAATCCCAGCATCACCACTTAATTAGCTATGTGATTTTGGACAAGTGACTTAATTCTTTGAGGCTCAGTTTTCCCACCTGTTAAGTAGGGATAATAGCAGTACTTGCCTCGTAGAGTTGTTCTGAGGATTACCTGAGATGTTGCCTTAGGACCTCCATATACATTCAGAGCTCTGTGTTGTTGTTGTTGTTGTTGTTGTTGTTGTTTTGGAGAGGTTTTTGCTATAGGGCACATATGCTCGCCAGATAGAGAGAGAGAGATAGAGAGACAGAAAGCAAGAAATCACCCCCCAGGGGGATGGCCACACTACAATCCCTTCTCCTCCATTCTCCTCTCGGGATCTTGGGCACGCACGCACACACGCCCGGCGTGAGTTTAAGCCACTGGGTCCAGAACTCGAACTGTGATCGACTACGTGGGAGTCCAGCGACATAGCCATTACGCTAACTGCTGGTCCCCAGAGCTCAGTGTTTACCATAGTTATTGTATCACTTTTGTTTAAGGTTATTGTCTTGGAGCATCTGAGCTCATTGGAGAAAGACAGACAGAAACTAAGAGAAGAAAAGTGAGAAATCACCTGCGGAGGGGATGGCCGTGCTGCAATCCTTTCTCCTCCATTCTCCTCTTGAGATTTGGGGCATGCATGCACACACACCTGCTTGGTCTGGGACTCAAACCACATGTGGGAGGCTAGCACCTTTACCACCATACTAACCATCTTATATCACTTTTAAAGTCAGAATTAAGGACTTCAAGCAATCTAGCAATCCTCTCTAAGCTATTTAGCAAGGTTGGTTTTCAATTCATTGGAAACACTTACTTGGACACCTCTATATATCAGACACCATAGAAAAGGCTAGGAACAAAACTTAATTTTCTCCAGTAATGTGAAGTTGAAGTAGAGAGAGAAACTAAGATACAGGGAGTTCTTAAAGAACATGTAAACAGTAAACCGCAATCCTGACAGTCATGCCATTAAGGTTCAAAAAGTCTGGAGGGCTAGACAAGGTCTCAGAGAGGATGCAGCACAGAGGCTGACCGTGCAAGGCTAGATAAGTTCACATCAGAATGGGGAAACAGGGTGGGAGAGGGAAGCGAGACACCTGTGCACATGGACAGTTTGGAGGTCCAGGAAGGTCTGGGCATGGCAGGTGTTCTGGGGGCCTAATCAGAGACAAGCCTTCTGGTGTCTTTCCCATTATCAGAGGTTTCTAGGAGTGTCAGGTCATGGGGTTCTTTAGTCACCCATTCCACTAATAACTATCCTTCCTATGACAAGTTCTGCCACTAACGCATTTTTGTGAAGTGGAAGGAGGGAGGAGAGAGAAGGTGTTATGTTGAAAGAGCTTAGATTCTTAATCTAGGCCAGCGCAAAAGGAGTAACAGAGAGTGGCCACTGTTCGTCTTGGCTGTCCTGCACCTAGCCCCACTTCTCCTGGAAGGAGCCCCTTGGTTATCTTTGGGAACCAACCTTCATTGCTTTTAGTCCACATGGTTTATAAATGGGGATGACTACACCCCATGGCAGGATGGGCACTGTATTCACATTGGTTCTATGAGATATGACCAGAGACTCCAGCTAGAACGACTGAGAAAGGGAAGCACCTGCTCTGGTAGGGTAACCATGGTAATAGGAGGTCAGCCTGGAGCAGTTGGTGGCCATCTTGTCTCCACAACAGGCAAGTCTTTTTGGAAACACAAGAGACGCCAAGCCACAAGATATGTTCAGAATGCCATCTGGGTATCTGGATCCTACCATACCAAAGCTGGCTTTTGCTGTTACATGAGAAAAAAAAATTTAAATCCTCTTTTGCCTAAGCCTCTTCAAATTAGCTTTCAGTATGGTCACTAAAAGAATCCTGATTGTATTTCATCAATTGCCTTATTCCCAACAGGATTTTAAAATCTTTATTTATTCATGAGACAGAGCACATGTGCGTGTATAAGGAAGAAAGAGAGAGGCAACCTTGACAAGTCTCCTCACACTGAAATCCCCTTCTCTTGGCCCTCCAGCTCACCAGGATCTTGGGGCATTTTCGGGTAGACTCAGAATCCAGAACTGTGGGGACCAGCAGTTAGCGTAATGGCTATGTTGCTGGACTCTCACGTAGTCAACTGTGGTTCACGTCCCGGATCCGGTGGCTTAAAGCTCACACCGGGCGTGTGTGCATGCATGCCCAAGATCCCAAGAGGAGAATGGAGGAGAAGGGATTGCGGCGTGGCCATCCCCCCTGGAGGGTGATTTCTTGCTTTCTATCGCTCTGTCTCTCTCTGTCTGTCTGGCGAGCATTTGTGCCGTATAATAAAAACCTCTCCAAAAAAAAAAAAAGAATCCAGAACTGTGGCTGACCCTATGGCTTCCAGCCCTGTAGTTCAGTACTCTACTACATCACAAGGCTGGGCCCCCACCAGAATGTGTTGGCTTATTAGTGTAGATGTTTGCAGTCTGTAGCCCAGGAGCCATCTGTGTCCAAGATAACAATGTGTATGTGCAAGTGATGGGGCCATTTATACACATTCCTTAATAGAATAGTGTATGTGATGTGCTTGGGTGTGCAGAGATGTCAGGAGAAGACCAAGACTCCAAAATGTGCATCTCTTCACCTCTTACTTCTGCAAACAAATTCTCCCCAAACCCTTTGTTATCCTTCTCTACCACAGAAAGTTCTTGGATCATGGGACCAGCAGTTAGCGTAATGGCTATGTTGCTGGACTCCCATGTAGTCAACCATGGTTGGAGTCCCGGACCCAGTGACTTAAACTCACGCTGGATGCATGTGTGTGCATGCCCAAGATCCCGAGAGGAGAATAGAGGAGAAGGGATTGCAGCGAGGCCATCCCCCCTGGGGAGTGATTTCTTGCTTTCTGTCTATGTCTCTGTCTTTCTGGCGAGCGCGCATGCCCTGTGGCAAGAAAAACCTCTTCAAAAAAAGAAAGTTCTTGGATCTGTTAAGTATATTTTGAGGGCCATCAAGGAGCATAGTGGTTAAGGTGCTGAACTCATACATGGCCGATGGTGGTTCGAGTCCTGGATCCAGCGACTTGAAACTCACACTGGATGCGTGTGCATACGTGCCTGAAATCCCAAGAGTATGGAAGAGACGGGATTGTAGCATGGCTAACCCCCCTCAGAGGTGATTTCTCACTTTCTCTCTCCCTCTCTGTCTCTCTGGCAACCACACATGCCCTGTAGCAAAAACTTCTCAAAAAAAAAGTTGAGTATATATTACCTGGCTCTAAAAATTCTAAGGAGAAGATGCGGAAGGGAGAAGAGGAGGTACCGCATGTACCAGTTTTTCTTCTTCTTTTTACCCTATAACTAAGAATCAGTTGGCATGCCTACGCTTCCTATTATATGCAGTGCTTTTTAAAATGAAGCATTAACTCTACTGTAATGGGATTTGGCTAATGACTTCCTGGTAAATGTCTTCTTGGATCTCAGCAAAGATAGTTCACTTGGTAGGAATCACTTCCTGCTTCCCGGTTAGTAACTAGACCTACCCCGTCCTTTTTGGGAGCAAACTGGCCTCTAGATGAAAGAAGGGAGTATAGGAATATTTTACTCAAGCATCTATCACAGAGATTCAGGCTGCTTCAGACCCAGATCAGGGAGGAGAAAAGGAAAGCGCCGGTCAGGGAAGATGTGAAGCCAGGCAAAAAAAACCTAGCAGTCTGAACCCCTTGCAGAAATGGATACACTCACCTCTTTGCCTGGGCTCTGGGGTTCTTTCTTTCTGGGGCAGTGGTGGTGGCAGCTGCTGCAGAGTCCACACTGACCTACCAGGGCCGCTGCAGGAGAAGGGGAGTTCCCATTCAGAAGGGAGTGTCCTTCAAGAAAGAGGCGATGCCCTTATTCCTCTGAAGCCCAGGCTGCTGGATCCACTTGTTCTCTCTCTCCTGCTCCCTTCCTGGTGTGAGTGGCGCTCAGGGGAGCCCCAGGAGAAGAACAGATGCAAACACACACCACACCCACCCAGGTTGGCCTGCAGGGCTTGGGGAGCCTGGAGAGGAAGGCAGCAGAGTGAGCCTTGTACTGAGCGGTGAGGCCACCCGCCTGGACCCCTGTGAGTGCAGCCGGGGCTGGTGTGCCCCCAGAAAGCCCAAGGACAAGCACTTGCGTATTTATTTCTCTCACTCTCATGTGATCTTATTTTTGGATGGGACACAAAAGCTATTTGGGGGCTGGACAGCTGCCAGGTGAAAGGACAGTTCTCTCGTCCAAGCTGTCTGCATGCCCCTCCCTGAACCGGCCTGTTACCATTCCCTA